TAGAAATAATTTTCATAAAAACGCATCAGTTTTAACACTATTTTAAAAAATTCGAAAAAAATAGAAAATATCGTTATTTTACAAAAAAAATTATACCGTATCGTGGCGAAATAAATGATCTTTCCGATTCTGTAATTATTTTTTGTCTGATTTCAACACCGAAAATTGGATGGCAATTTTAAAATGGTGGAAAACGTAGGATTACTGCTCGGCCGAAACGGAATGGAACTTCTGCCAAGTAAACAACCGGCAGGGGTAAAACAATTAGGCGTTTTAAGGTTTTTAATTAATATCTTTTCAACTAATTACAATATCGGAATATAAATGGGCAATACGGCTTCCCCGGAAAATTCCCGATCTTTTGGTACCTTCCGCGACTTTCTGCGTCGTACGGTTCGTGAGAAGATAGACGCACATGCATACATACATAGATACGTTTGTTAACGTTCGAATTTTAATAGTGTAAGAAGATAGTATTTACAAATGAAGGGAAAATTTCCAGGCACTTTATCAATATAAACTATAATAAATTTATTTTGTAATATTTTAATCTGATTTTTAATATCATTAAAAAAGATGTTATTATCTGTACTAAAGTTATATTTATTAATCTGTTGTGTAATGTTACATTTAAACTCTGTGTATGTCTCTATAGGCAAACTATATTTAATAGCAATTTTGTAAATGAATTGCTCAATATCATTACATAACTGATTTTTGATAATTTTATTATTATTAGAAATCATAAGTCTAAAACCAGTACCTTTATTCATTATATTTCTAAGATTATTGTCTTTTACAATATTGAAATCACCAGTAATAACATGCTGGTGATAATTATCTTTGAATTCTTTAAATTCATTACAATTACATTTTAAATTTTCTTGCTTTATAGGTACATTATAGTTAAAAATTGATCTACCTTTTTTTTATATTTAAAAGCCTTTTTAATAGTGATATTTTGAAATGGGAAAGTTGACATGTGTTTTTTAAAAATGCTAGAAAAATTAATATTATCATAAGATTTATCTATACAAATAAATAAAATTGAAGTGTCTGTTTGTAATTTCAAATTAGCAGCTTTTTACTAAATGCATTTAAAGGCATATACGGTACTTATATCAAAAAATCAATTTTTAAAATTTTTGTCTGTCTGTCTGTTTGTTCCGGCTAATCTCGGAAACTTCTGGTCCGATTTTAAAAATTCTTTCACCAATGCAAAGCTACATTATCAGCGAGTAACATAGGATATATTTTATTCCCATATTCCTACGGGAACGGGAACTATGCGTTTAAAACGTTGACGTTGCTTACTCCCCGCCAAGTTGGCGCAAAATTATGCATTTGCTCAATAATGGAAATTTTAATAAATATTTTCTCACATTTGTAACAAATAACTGAAACATAGTGTTATTTAGCATCTTCACAAAAAGCAATTTTTTAAAGGGTTTTTTATGGTTATTATTTACGTTACGTTTGTTAAATGTCAAACTCAAACTTTGAGAAATATCGCCAAGTTGGCTAAGAATTTAAATCCCAGATATTTTAATGCAAATTTTCTCCCTCTTTTTAAAGAGGGAAACGAAATAAAGTTTTAGCGAATTGCGTGCGCGTGATATTGAAAATTCTATGGTAATATTAACTGACAGTTTCATAAAAAGTTTTGATTACTTAAGTAGTTTTGATTAGTTTGAACTTTTTTAACCTAATTATACAATATTCATATTTTGCACAAAATTTTTCACTTATACTGAACCTAGATATTTTACATGGAGGTATTACTTTGAAGATATACTATGGAAGCATCCATACAATGTCACTCGCCGAATAAAATTAGGGAGCTTTACGCAATACTTATTTCATCTTCGGTCCTTCTAATCCTCAAACCTTTTGGAATAAGTACATGGTGGAAGATATTTTGCGACGAAAAACAACCAAATATGCCTTTCAATGAACACATCTGCAACGAAACGCAATAAAGGTTTTCAGAATGGTTAGGAAGAAGCTACATGATTTTGGAATGATTAGCCCTAGACGTGTCAACGGAAATGACTTCGATAATGAAATTACGTGAGAATTAAACTACGATTTTATAGCATTTCAGCATCAAGTAACAGAATTTACCCCTCAATTAACTCCAGAACAAAGTCACGTTTTTCAACAAGTGTTACGCAAAGTAGAATTCATCAGTGGTGCACTCTTTTTTCTCGAAGCCCCTGGAGGAACAGGAAAAACATTTTTGCTAAACTTATTACTAATGACCATCAGAAAAACCCAGAAGATAAAATTCAGAAGATAGCAGTTGCTATGGCTTCTTCTGGTACAGCCGCGATTTTACTGACCAAAGGTCGCACAGCACATTCCGTTTTAAAATTATCGCTTAATCTTGCATTTGAAGATTCACTTATCTGAAATTTCAGAAAAAATAGCTCTCAAGGCTGGATGCTTCCACAATGTAAGCTTTTAGTGTGGGATGAAAGTACGATGTCTCATAAGAAAGCTATAGAAGCGTTAAATCGGACTCTTCAGGATTTACGAGATAGTACAGATATTATAGGATGAACGGTAGCTTTATTATATATTGGCTGGTGAATTCAAGCTTATGGGGAAAAGTTGAAAAATTCAGTCTGAAAACGAATATCCCACGGAGTTCTTAAATTCACTTGAACTTCCGGTTGTACCCTCACATAAACTTCAATTAAAACTAAATGTAAAGTTATGCAGAATCTCTATGCTACTCGACTATGTAAGGGAACGAGGCTTTGGATCACAAAACTGATGCAGAATATACTTGTTGCCAATATTTGAACATATGTCATGAAAAGGGATAGTGTTATCATACCTCGAATTCCAAGTATCCCCACTGACCTACCGTTTCAATTCAAAACGAGTTCAATTTCCAGTTTTACTGTTGCTATTAACAAAGCTAACATTTCAGGTAGCAGGGGTGCATTTGGAAAAGCAATGTTTTTCCCATGGCCAACTATATGTAGCCTGATCGGTGTGTCCAATGCCCAAATCTTCACATATTAGCAACTGAAGGAAGAACATATAATGTGGTATACAGTAGCATCTTAGAATAATATTCTGTTTTGAGCTCTTTTAAAGAGGAATTATATATAGTAGTAGGAATTATATAGTAGAGGAATTATATAGGTATTAGTAGATACTTTCGATTTTTAAAAATATTAATAGTTTAAGTTATTGAATTTTTGTTTTTAATTATTATAATAAATAACGCTTTCAATTTTTTTAAACTAAGCTCAATTTTAGAATTTTTAAATTATATTGGTTCCAGCCAAGCAATAAAAAAAATTACCATATTGTATTATTTACTTTCTAATGATAATGATTACGACTTTGACAGTTATTTAAAGACATCAACGCGAGCGGAGCCGCGGGTAAAAGCTAGTTCATATATAATAATGTACAATATTCTGTTGGATATTTTTTATTTACATTGACTTTTATTTTATGTTTATGCTTCAAATATTTATTGTTCAAATTTTCAATCGTTAATAAAATACTCAAGAGCCAAAACATTATGGCCGCCTGTCAATAACGAGTTGGCCCACCTTTGGCGCGCAACACAGCTTCAACCCGCCTTGGCATAGATGCCACAAGTCCTTGGTAGATGGCCGGAGACAGATTGTACCAGATGTTTAAGCAACGGTCACGCAAATCCGAGATATTGCGAATTGGTGGTCTTTGAACCCTGAGCTGCCGTCCCATGACATCCCAAATATGTTCTATCAGATTGAGATCCGGTGAGTTAGGCAGCCAGGACATTAACTGAAATTCAGCATCGTGTTCCTGGAACCACTCCAACACAATTTTAGACTTGTGACACGGGGCGTTGTCCTGTTGGAACATTCCATTTCCAGCTAGAAAAACAGAGGCCATGTAAGGGTGCAACTGGTCCGCAATGATGTTCAGATACCCTGTAGCATTCATGGTCTGCTCTAGCACAACCACGGGTCCCAGAGACGCCCAAGAGAACGTCCCCCAAAGCATAATACCGCCACCACCGGCCTGTGTATGACCTACTGTACACTGAGGGAACAACTGTTCGCCTGGAAGACGGCGCATCCTGACACGGCCATTGGCGTGATGAATGACAATCCGTGATTCATCTGACCAGGTAACTCTCTCTTACTGATCCATGGACCAGTCGCGATGTTCCTGGGCGCAGTTGGTGATGATGCTTGGTCAGCAAAGGAACACGAGTGGGACGTTTGCTGCGTAGCCCCATATCCAACAGTGTCCGCTGAACAGTGTGCTCCGATACGATTCTACTTGGCCCTGCATTGTATTGGGCTGTCCACTGAGCCACTGTCTGGCTCCGGTATTGCTTCATTATGCGAGACAGTCTCCGACGACCTTTTTCTTTGATTGCGTGTGGACGTCCAACACCATGTCGCCTACTGCTGGTTTCACCGTCATTCATCCTCTTTGCATAAGTACTAACAACTGTAGATCGCGAACAACCCACGAGTCGTGCAGTTTGGGAAATACTTGTTCCGAGCCTTCGAGCCAATACAATCTGCCCTCTATCAAAGTCACTAATACATTTTTTTCAAAAAATTCATTAATTAAATTAAAAAATGAATAAATAGTAACAAACAAAAATAATTGCGGCCGTGGTAGCCTAGTGGTTAGAGCATCGGACTCCAGACCTGAGAGCCTGGGTTCGATGCCCGATGCCACTAAATACCACCGAGTATAGACGGAGTACGTGCTCGTTAAATCAGTGGGTCCGAAAGTCTTGTGGGCGGTCGCAGCAGAAACCACGAGTGCTGGAGAATATTTCCCTCCCCTTCAGCTCCGTGCTAAAATTGTGGAGGTAGAGATAGGTGGTGTCGCCATCTATCGTTAAGAAGTCCAACCTATCTCACAGGCAATGGCAACTTTCATTCCTTCCCTGCGGGAAGGACACGACAACAACAACAAACAAAAATAATAGTCCAACAGCATATATAGAAAGGAAAATTGTTCGTTTTGTTCCAGTAGCGCAATGGCTAACGCGTTGGACTTCTAATCCAAAGGTTGTGGATTGGAATAGCACCTGGAAAGGCGCAATTTCTGAGAATGTGATTTCTTTTTTTTTACTATACTATTTTATATAATAATTCAATTTAATTGGATGAATAAATAGTTACAAAAAAAATCCCCAATACTATATATAGCCGCCCATCCGGTATAGTGGTCAGTGAAGCTGACTGTGGTGCCGTAGGGACTGGGTTCGAATCTCGAAGAAGGCATGGATGTTTGTGTTGTAATCCTTTCTTCTGTCTGTGTTGTATGTCCCCGTGTTATGCATTGCGTGGTGCACGGGGTTTATAAATGTTAAACAAAAAAAAATGCTATATATAGAGAGAGAAAGGAAAATCGCTTTCTATTTTTTCACTTAATATTGTAACTCTGTCATATGTATATACATATTTATATTAATTGTAACTATTTTTAAAAAAATTTGTTTCAAAAAACCTTTTATATTTAAACGCACTAGAAAGAATGAAATAAACTTTTCCTTTAAATCTTTTTTACTATCAACTTGTAACTTCATTACACAATTTATATGACATAAAAACTTGTCGCGAGACTTAATTACTCGTATTTACTTAGTTGGAAAATTTTAAAAATTAATCAATCGGATCAAGTTATTTAATTTATTTGTTGATCTGCACAGGTAAATCTCACACCAAGTTTTTATATGATATAAATTGAGTAATGACGTTATAAGTTGATAGAAAAAAAAGTTTTAAAGGCAAAGTTTATTTTGAGTAATGACGTTATAAGTTGATAGAAAAAAAAAGTTTTAAAGGCAAAGTTTATTTTATTCTTTTTAGTGCATTTAAATTTAAGCTTGTTTTTATAAAAACGGTTTTTTTTTTGTTGTTTTTTTTTACTTTTTAGTTATTGCTGGACAGGTTTCTGAGTCTGTTTTTAAGCACTTTTTTCAATTTTCGTACAGAGCTCGGGTAATATTGCTCAGCACACGAAAAAAAAATTCGTGAGATTATCTTCAGAAATGACGAAGATATTAAATGTTTAATTAAAATTTTGAGTACTTTTCGAAAAATCGTAAAAAAAATGTTTTTGGCATTTTGTTTTTTAAATGACTGATTCTCTAAAAAAGTAAACCACGAGCTGTTTTAGTACGGAATGTCGATTTATTTAATCGAAAAAAAATTAATTGCGCAGCAATTTAGACATGATTTTCATAAAAACGCATCAATTTTGACTCATTTAAAAAAAAATTGTAAAAAACATTAATATAATTATTTTGTTAAAAAAAATTATACCGCGTATCGTGGAGAAATAAATGATCTTTCCGAATCTGTAATTACTTTTTGTCTGAGTTTTATAAAAAAAATTAAATCGCTGTTTTAAAAACGTCAACCCCCCTAAAAAATTTTCTCCTCACATCGTTCTTCATTTTGCGTCACCGAGCACAGCGGAATAAACAGCCCATAGGGGTAAAACAATTATGCGTTGTTAGGATTTTAATTAATATCTTTTGAACTAATTGCAATATCGGAATATAAATGGTCAAAACATGCATTGTCATCCAAACTAAACGTGTCTACAAAATTTCAGCTCAATCGGTTGAAGATATTAGCTTCAAAATTGAGTTGCGAGATTCCACCCGAACAAATTACAGGCATACATTGCAAGTTAAATAGAAGCTTGTAAAAAGTAACTAAAATAAAATTTTACTTTGTTGGTCTAAGTGTAAATTGACTTAAGTTTTTTTTTATAGTACTTGTTTTAGTTTGGAATGTAGAATTGGGGAGGGGGCTCATTTTGAAAAATACTTTTAAAACTATTTTAATGAAATGTTGTAACAATTCCGTAGTTATAAATCTACGTGAAGTTAAGAAGAGGGTAATTGATCAGATAATCAGAAATTTTATTGTACTTGTTTTAGTTTGGAATATAGCATTGGGGAGTGGGGCTCATTTTGGACAATACATTTAAAACTATTTCAATGAAATTTTATAACAATTCCGTAGTTATAAATCTACATGAAGTTAAGAAGAGGGTAGTTGATCAAGTAATCAGAAATGTGATATTTATATTTTTACAGTAATATAAGTGTGTATTCTACGTAACGAAGAATGAACGAAATTCAATAATGATCGTAAGTGGATAAATTTAACTGCAAATTGACTATATAACGCATTAGCATTGTATTATAAAAAGTGACATTTAGATAAGTCACATCACAAGTTTTATATTGCTTAGCAAGAAAAAGAAGAAAAAAATGAATACTACAGAAATATGTATTCTAACAATGATGATTGATAATAATAGAATATTTTTAATGTAAGATGCATTGATATTTTGAATAATACAACTTTATTTTTATCACTAAGAAAATTAATGAAAAACCTCGGCTTTTAATATTTAAAAAAGCTATTTTTTTTATCAACATTACTTTAAAAATGCACACTTAATGAGGTATAAATAATGATAATCGTGATTTTTTTTTAAATCAATAGTAGTCCGTGTGATTAAATTTTAATAAATTTATTTTTATAAAAAAATTTTTACTCCCAATATAACTGATTTCAGGAACGTTTGTGAAAAGACGTTAAACTTAAGATGTGAAGACATCGCGACAGTTATGTCAATGTTAAAATGAGTATCATGTGAGTCGAATCAGTAACTGAAAGATCAGTTAAAATTGTGCCCTTCAACAGATTCATATTTGTATATTCATTTTCTAAAGACTTTCAATGATGGTTCTGATTTACGTAAGTGCTTTGCAAAATCTACATCTGAATTGTTCTGTTTTTAAATTTTGAAGTTAACGTTGTGTTATTAAAATAGTTGCTTTCTCTTGTTCTTTGAAATTTTAACATTGAATTTCATAATTTTGATATTTCTACTAGTCGCTTAAATTGTGAACAATGAGAGAAAATTGAAACTCCTGTGTTATATATGTATATCATGACCTGGAGTATTTTTAACAGTGGTATTTGTGACTGATTTAACGCAGCCGTTGATCGTATTTCAGTTTATTGCAATGAATTAACAAGTCGCTCTGTACTCCAAGGCCATGACTGAAAAGCGTCTGTAGTGCTAGAGAGTGAAATTCGTGCACTCGGCTAACCACGTGGTAAAAGAGTAATCATGCGAAAGATGGGTTGAGACCCCGGTCTGAGGCGTGCTCCAGATGTGCTTCTGTTGGACATTCTTCCACGGATTGCAATCTGGAGCCAAAATGTGTTAATTGTTCACAAGCCCATCCATCTGATTCGAAACTGTGCACTAAATGGAAAATGGAGAAACAAATACAGGAGATCAAAACTAATAAAAATATTCCTTACTTAGAAGCACGAAAACTAATACTCCCAGAGGTAACTCAAACTTATGCCCAGACTGCCAAATCTTTAACTGTAAGCAATTCCACATAAACGGATGAAAGTATAACAAAAATAATTTGTCCACCTATAAAATTACTTCAACCAATTTCATCCCTCTTGAAGCAAAATATATCAATATCCACATCATCGTCAACCCAAACAAACCTCTTGCCTTCCGCCTCTTCAATAGCAGCTACACGGAGTCAGAAACTCAAACACCTATTCCTATATCTAATGCCGTTCTTTCTACCGCCAATATCTTTACCCCTATTGAATCATCTTCATCAAACATATCCGCTTCCACATCAAACTCCTCTATTCGAAAATTAACTCGTGCGAAGAAAAAATGTTTAGTAAAAACAAACCGAAAATAGAAATAAAACTGACACCTCGCAAACTACGAAAAAGTTCACCTCAGCAGGAATCATCAGACGAAGACATGATAATTTATGATGAGGATGAATTTGATATACGAAATATTTTAGTAAAAGACAGTAAATTTTCCAGCATAACACCTACAGGAGATTAAAAAAAAAAGCATTGAAATAATTGATTTTCTTACTTAGTTTTTGAAGCAATAGTTTTGTAGATATAAAATTTGCTTATGGGTGGGTAACGTTAAATGTTTTAATTCAATTGCTTTTGATTTTCCTCATTGATCTTACCTGACTTGGTGGGGTATCTCCCACCAAAATTTACCTTTTATATTGTGAATTGGATTTTCATTTTTAAATTTATGTTTTGACTTTTTTTATGAGACCGTACTCTTGTTGGTTGCATGGCTGGAGCGGACACATCCCCCCCTCCCCATCTTAGAACAGATTGGATTATCGAATTACAAGGATAAATATTAAGTATTAATATAAATTATTCAAAGTATTCCATAAATATGTAATTTTTCATGTTAACACGTAAAAAGAATATTTCGCTTAGCATTGTGGCCGCGGTAGCCTAGTGGTCAAGTGACGGACTTGTGGTCGGCATGTCATGAGTACCGCTGAAGACCTGCTGTGTAAGCGAGCGATGCACGTTAAATCTGTCGAGAACTACCATTGGTGTGGTGTGGTCCTCGTCACTTGACATTGGTTCAAAATTACGAGGTCTGTCGCCAAACGCCCTCGAGTAGCTGAACAGTGTGACGTTAATATTAACTCATTCACTCGTTGAGCACTACGATGTAGGAGAAGTGCCGGTTTATCCATTGGGCGCTCAGGGCGAGCGCCCAATGGATAAACCCCGGAGCGCCCGGATAAGCTACACTTAACCACATTTTCTGGTTGTAAGTTACGATCCACCAGTGCCAAAAGGACCAAAAGACATATTTCTATATAACAAATAAAACAAAATTAGAAACTTATATTTTATTGTTGATAAATTTTTACAGGATCAAACAGTTAGCTTAGGTACAAAATAAAAATAAGCAACTTGAAACATTTAATTTTAAATGATTACTAAGCAGTCAGTACTTTCTTAATGTGGCCTTTGAATCTGTAGTTTTTGGTTTTTTTTAAATCATCTATATTTGGATTAGTTCGTGAAGATGCTAACAAAATTAGGCGTTTTAGGTGCACATCAGTTAGTTTGGAGCGATATTTTGATTTAATTACGTTCATAACAGAAAACATTTCTTCACAAACATATATATTGATCCAAACCTAGAACAATATCTGAAAGCTAAATCATGTAAACTTGGAAAATTGC